AAGGGTTCCCTGCTGGGCCTGCAGCCTGGGTCAAAAGAGGATCCCTGGGCCCGGGAAGTCTCACTCACTTGCCGGGCCTGTGCTCCGGGTCTGTTCAGGATCCCGCGGCCTGGGTCGTCTCACTCACCCGCCGGGCCTGCGCTCTGGGTCTGTGCAGGATCCCGCGGCCCTCGGTCGTCTCACTCACTCGCCGGGCCTGCGCTCTGGGTCTGTTCAGGACCCCGCGGCCTGGGTCATCTCACTCACTCGCTGGGCCTGCGCTCCTGTTATATCTTTTTTTTTCCATGAGAAAAATGCAAATTAGAAATTTGAATGATTTATTAAAATACATTCAAAAGTATGTAATGTAGTTTGTGTTAGTATTACTTTCAGGCTTTCAGAATGAATACTTTTCTTGGTAATGAAGTTTACAAAACATGTCTCTACGTTGTCATGTAAATGAAGGCTCCCTAAAATATGTAATGAAATTTGTTCTCCTATACTTGGAAGCAACACTGTGGTAGCGCTCTGCCACTGACAAAAATACTTGACCAAAATCACCTATTGCTTTTGGGCCCGGGCCAGTACTGCATCATCTTTCTTCTCAAATGCCGTAAAACAAGCAACCTTCTCCTTCTCATGATGGGAATCCTGGTAGAAGAGGAGGAGGGTGCTTGCCTTATGGCCTCTGAGAAGAGAGAGAGTAGAGTATTGGCCCGGGGTCCCAATATCCCTATACAGGCTTGCCCCTGTATGACCCAAAAGATTTCTAGATAGACCCTGCTTCATAAAGGTTCTGTCACCTCCAGTTGTGCCATGGGCTGGAGACCAAGCTGTTAACACATGACCCTTTTGGGAGACTCCTATGCAAATCATAGCATGCACCTTTGTCACTCTCTTATCAAAGTTGCTTTGATTCTCCTTTTGTTAGTACATATTTGTCATATATATTGATCATACTTATCTTAGGGAATTTGTGTATAATACATCTCAATTCTTTTTTTCCTATTCCCTTTCCCTCAGCCTTTCTCTCCACACTTAAATAAGCTTTGTTTCCATTTTTCCCCCTTCCATTCTCTTTTTTTTTTCTTTTTTCCTTTTCCCTTCTTTGCCCTTTCTTCTCCCCCTGCCTTGTTTACTTTCCTATTTGAACATTACCAGTGTGTATCTTTCATTACACTTCTCATTTATCCTTTGGATTTCTTATGCATGAGAAACAATGCAATATTTAAATTTGTGTATCTAATTTATTTCACTAAATATTATGGTCTTGAGGTGCATCCATTTTCCTACAAATGATTCAAGTTTATCCCTTATGACAGAATAGTAATCCATTGTATGTAAATAGCACATTTTCTTTATCTATTTATCTTTTGAGGAGCATGTCATCTGTTTCCAAGATTTAGCTATTATAAAGTATGCTACTCTAAACATGGGTGTGCATATTTTATTATGGTATTAACTTTCTCAGTCTTGTAGGAATATATGTAGAAGGGGAATAGCTGCATCAAATGGAACCTCTAGTTTTGCTTTTATGAGGAATGTATATAGTGAACTCAATAGTGATTTACCTCATCAGCAAGGGAGAAGGATTCAGTTTTTTCCCCATAGCCTCTCCAGCATTTATTTTTTTATTTTTTGCCATAATTTTATTGATAAACAAATAGCAATGAGACAGTTTCAAATCAAATCGGTAGGACAGTTTCAATAATTAACACACTGCATACATTCTTCTTAGTGGCTAATTGCTGTCCAAGATGTGGACATGATATCCTATTTACAAACACCACTAGAACAAATCACTCTATTCAGTAAGAGAATGTAACTATGTATCTATCCTAACCACCTTGAATACACAGATACAAAATGGACATTCATCTGTATACCCTTTTTTTGTTAAGTTCCATTATTTGAATATTATAGGTGTGTAAACTCAGCAAAATATTCTAAAAGAGTCCAGTAGCCCATAATAGTATTGGGTCTTCCCCTTAATTGGCAATGTCAGAAATTGTTGACCTGAGTCCCCCACCTCCCCAGCATTTATAATAGCCGTTCTTTCTGGAAATAGAATCTAAGAATCATTTTAATTTTCTTTGAGTGGCCAGTAAAGGTGAGCATTTTTTTTCATAGATTTATTTGCTATTTGTTCTTCTTCATCTAAGAAATGTCTGTTCATTTCAGATCTCCATTTTTGGTGTTGAGCTTTTAAATTTGGGAAGTCTGGGTTTTTTAAAAAGTTTTTTATATATTGTAGTTGTTAATCCTTTGTGGAGTAGCAAGTAAAAGTTTTCTTCCCATTTTGTAGGTTGTTTCTTTGCTCTGTTGGTGGCTTCCTTTGCTTTAGAAGCTTTTTAATTTGATGTGCACTCAGTGGTTGATTCTTTGTGTTATTTCTTGTGCAGTCAGGGTTTTGTTCATAAAATCTTTGTCTATACCTATATCATCAAGAGTTTACCCATTTTGTCTTCCAGAAAATGAACTGTTTCTATATTTATTCCAACCCAAGAACAAGGGCTACCTTTCCATTGTCTGATGTCCCTTTCAATCTCCCTTTTTAGAGTACTGTAGTTTTCAATGTGTATGTCTTTTACATCCTTTGTTATTTGTGACATCCATCGAAGATCATTATCCCCTCTGCTATTTCTTATTGATGCCTGGTAAATATGTTGATGCTCTTTAGTGTTAGAGACAAGGAAGTAGAGCCATTTCTTCAGTTTTATGATTCATTATTTTTAAAGCTTTAACATTCATATAGGACATTGTACCCCTGAGTTGTATTATAGTTTTTTTACACTTGTTGAACAACTCTTACATTTACAGAGCTTATTTTCTTGGCAGACACAGATTTTTTTTTTCTTTCAAATCATATTACTTGAGTTTCATATAATTTAAAAAATTACTTCCTGATTTCTGAATGTCCCTTTTAAGAACCAGGGAAAATTATTATATATCACTGGTTTGGTTTGGTTTTTGAGATAGGACTGTACTAGATAGTCCAGACTGGCCTTGAGCTCACTGTGTAATCAAAGCTGGCCAAAATTCATGGCAGTCCTCCTGTTTCACTTTCCTAAGTGCTGAGATTATGGGTGTGTACCATTACCCTGGGCTCACTTTTTTCCTAATAAATGTGTGAAATATATTTTTATATTCTGAAAAGAGCTATTGAGAACACATTGAATAATTTCACATCCTGCATTTCTGACAGTGGTAATCAGTTTTGTACATCATTTCCAGCATCATCTTGCAGAACAGCCTTTCTGACTGGTGCTCTTCTTGGGTAAATAAGGCTGACTGAAGAGCACTTTCTTGTAATTCCTTGTACTTCCTTGATGTAATTATTCTTAGAGAAATTTTGAGGACATCTAAAAAATACTGTAGGAGGGTATAACTTTCTTGTTTAAACAAGTAACGTACAAACCATTTTCATTCCATTCTTGTCCTTACCAAGTTCCCTATCCATCTTTTAGATAACTCAGTATTTTCCAAGTGTTAATAGAGCTAAGAACCTGTTTGTCTTGGATTTCTTGCTACGCTATCTGCCCCACACACATACATACTTATTAACATCTTGAAAGTATGCAACGAGGAAGGAGTTTGGGAAGTACTGATTTGATACATTACTCTTTTTTCATATGAGTAATATATATCACAATATAATATTACTTTTGTTTAGAATTATTCATAATAATCTACCTTCAGAATCCTTGTTAAAATGTCTATTATCAAGTTGGATTTTCATCTTGACTTATTTTGAATGGCAGTTTTATTAACATACTAATCCATCTTGTAGTTATAATGCTTTTATAAAAACTCTGTGTTAGACTCCATAGAAGCATGAGTGAATCAAAAACCCAACCAGAAAGACATTGTAGTCTGGTGTAGGATGGTTGCTTAACAGGTGTAGCAGTTATTATTTTAAGAGCTAGGAGTTGATTTGAGTCATAAGAATCCTAGATGAAATGATATGGTAGCTGAGAGTAGCAAATGATTTCTGTAGAACACTTCAGAAAAGCTGCAGGCAACAGAAGCTGTTTAGTTGGGCTTAAAGACCAATTGGGGTTTCATATAGCAAAAAGGACTAGAAAGGAAATATTAAAGGAGAGGATATGTGTGAGCAAAGGCATAGAGAAACAAGATGCACATTTGAAAGAAAGTGATGAGTGGCCTTTGGGCTCAAGGATGAAATACACTGAGGGCTTGTAGAGGAGCACCTAGCAGGTGATGGATTTTGGAAAGTTAAGTTAAATTCCATGTTACAGAGGTTGAACTTCGTTAGACCATGAGAAAGGCTGTGCTGTAGGAAGGTTAGTGTGATAATATTTGAGATGGGAGTTCAAAGCTATGCAGTAATTCAGATAAGTAGGACAAGATGAGGAGGTCTTGTGTGGAATTATCAGCATGGAAGTGGGGGATAGGGCTTCCTTGTGGAGGTATTAACAGACTGGGAGAGGGCAGGTCCAAAAATGGCTCTTGGTGCTGGGGGCAACAATGTGAATCAATTGCTATGAAATTGTTAGATAAGTTTTCTTCTTATTCTTAGTTCTAGAGCCAGTACAAAAGCCTCATGAAGGTCCTGGAGAAATGGGGAAACCAGTCGTCATTCCTAAGGAGGATCAAGAGAAAATGAAAGAAATGTTTAAAATCAATCAGTTCAATTTAATGGCAAGTGAAATGATCGCACTCAACAGAAGTTTACCAGATGTTAGGTTAGAAGGGTAAGTACCTTGGGTGTGCCTGGTAGTACTTGAATGAAAAGAATGTCTTCAGTGAGTTCCCAGTAAATTGCACTTTAGTGTTGGTTGTTCCTACAGTGAACGGTACATCATGAAATGACTGCTTACTGCATTTAAAGCATAATTAAATGCTGTTAAATAATATTTCAAGTCGTGTGGTGGTGCATACCTGTAACCCAGCACATCGGAGGCTGAGGCAGGAGGAGAACTGTGAGTTTGAGGCCAGCCTGAACTACATAGTGAAACCTTATTGTAAAAAGACCAAAGCAAAGCAAACTCTATCTCAAAATATCACTGATCTAATAACTATTATTTCAAGCATTGGAAAATAGTTGTTTATGTTAATGGATTAGTGCAGCATTTTAAACTTCATTATTACCAAAATATTCATACATTCATCAGAAAAAGTTCCAAGTTGTCTGTAACCTGAAGCAGTGAAACACACAGTTCTAAGGATGCACCTTTGTGCACATCTGTGTAACCATCATCCAAACCAAAAAGAACATTTCTGTTGCTTCTAAAAGTTGCCTTATTTTAGTGTTTCCAGTCATTGCTTCCACTCCTAGAAACATTGTTTTTACCTCTCTAAGCACTGTATCTTTCATTTAACTTGTTATAAATTGATCTGTATGGTATATACTCTTTTATATCTTTGAGGTTTGTATTTTTTCATATATCATTTTTTCATTGACTTTTTTCTATTGCAGCAGTAGTTTCCTATATGGATATACCATAGTTTATTTATACACTGTTAGACATTGGGGTTGTTTTTACTTATTTGACTATCATAAATAAAGTTGTTGTGGCATTATTGTGTACATCTATTGGAAGACTTAAACTCACCTTCTTATTTGGTGTACATATTGAGAGAAGAGAGACTGAATTAATATATTTTATATAGCTTTGGCTTGTACAGCCAAACACTTTTGAAAATGTTTTATCAGTTTACAGTGCTGTCACCAATGTAAGAAGAAAATAGTTACAAAGCATCTGAATTAGAGGACACTGGGTCCAGCTAAAACAAGGAACCATGCAGAAAAATATGAGATTGACCATGTGCATGCTGGCTGCAAAGACTCCAAGCCACCTGTTCTGTATGACTCTCCTTAATCCTGGCAGCCAGGCTTTCCTTCTCCGGGCAAGAATTGAAGGATATTTTTGAGAAGGGTCTGACTAGATCTAGAGAAAAAAATCTCAACAGTGATGTAGATTCTCCAACTGTTCACTCTCATGAAAACCCACAGCTGATAAGCCCCCCTCCTATTCAGATTTTTGTTCTTCCATTTTAATAACAAGTAGAGAACCAAGGAAGGCTAGACATCATAGGAAGCTCTTAAACATGAAAAGCAGATTTCAAAGCAAACACGAAAGGAAAAGCAAATTGTTCAGGAAAATAAAAGGTCTGTGAAAATCTCAGATTATTATAAAGCGTCTCTTGTCTTCTCTTAAACAAACTTGCTAGATACAAAGATGTTTTTCATTCCTCACTGTTATTTTTACCTACATAATGTTCATTGGTTACTTAATATGAACACTTCAAGCACTGCTGAAAAAGGCTATAAAGTCTTCAAAAATGACATCAGTATTAAAAATAATAACCCTTGAGCATAGTGGCGCAAGCCCTGTGATCTCGGCATTCTGAGAAGACGGGGCAGGAGGTTCAGAAGCTTCGACCTGAGCTGACACCTGAGTGAGACACTGTTAATGGCAGAAAGGCTGTGGGTGGCCCTGTGTGTGCAGACCCTGCCCTTTGTCCCAAGCAGCGCAGTCAGTGAGTCAGTCAGCCAGCATGTCTTCCGTTATCATACGTCTAGAAATTTTAAATAGCTCAACTGATTGTTTTTACTGGTAGAGTTTGGTTTTGTAATTTTAATAATTCTCCTTAAGTATGTTATTAAGCATTTTGTCTTTTTTATCTTTTATATACTTCTTTTTTTTGGCCGGCTCAGCCCACCCTGAGGGTGGGGCTGGTGCAGCATGTGGTACCAGGGATTGAACCACAGTCCCCTGTGCCTGCCTAAGCTTGCCTAAGCAGGCGCTTTAGATTGCTGTGCTATCCCGCCAGCCCCTCTTTTACATAGTTCTTAAAGACACTTTTACTTGCTAGTAGCTTTTTCATGCATTACAAATCATTTTTTTGATAGTTAACGAGTTCATAATATTTAGATCACTTTAAATGGCGTGAGACAAGTGCCTGCACATCGCACTCCAGGCTGATGGCTCAGGCCAGAGAAGGTGCAGCTCCATGCTGGCTATAGAAGCACCGTCCTGCTGTCAGCCGGCGGTCTCTGTGGGACTCTGCTGGCACAGAATAGTTTCCTTGTTTCATCTGTATATACTGGTGTCCTTTGACTTTTTTATTATGGAAGATTTTAAACATATATGAAAAGAAAATAGAGATAATAATATCTCATGTATGCACCCCGTAGCTCCATCCCAGTGGTAGTGTTCACGTATGCCCTTGTTTCCTAACTAGCTCTGCCTCTAGATGTTCACACGTTTGTGTATTGCTGCCCCACATCGTACTGCAGTTGACCTATTTGAGCAGTAGAACATAAGTAATGTATTGCTTTGAAAATTAGGTTATTAGGTATCCTGTGGCATCTGAGTTGGTCTTTCAAGCTCACTTACCTCATCTGCTCTGGGGAGAACCCACTGACTGGGCAGGAACAGCTCAGCAGAGGAACCAGTGTGGTTTGTGGCCCTGTGCAGAACTAGATACATAAGATTAGATCAGATTGGCTCAGCCATATCATTTACAGATATTTTATATATGCCTTTCGAAGATAAAGACTCATAGAAAAGGGAAAGAAAAATCATGAACTTCATTTTCATACCTTAAAAAAATTAACACTTATTAATGTCATGAAATACCCAATTAATGTTCAGTATTCCTATTTATATCTTATATTTTCCATTTTTTTTCCAGTATCAGGATAGAAATAAGGTTAAGATAAATATTACAGCTGGTATATATGTCAATAAATTTCCTTGAAACTAAGATCCTCCTCGTTTTTCCTTCATAATTTATTATTTTTAAAATACAGGTTAATGTATCAACTATCTTTCTTTGGGCTGCTTTTTTCTGCCTGGATTTCTTTGATAACACTGAATGTGCTCCTGTTTCTTTTCTGTAGACTTAGTTATATCTGAAGGATGGGCCAGTATCCTTGAAGTTAAAGAAATTCTGTACTTAGGGTAATAAAAGTGTGGAATCTAGCCCACAGTGTTGCTTCTTCATTGAAAGGGTCCATCCGATGTCCTGTTTGTCTATTTCCTCTTTTTAAAACTCTTCTTTAGCTATGCCTTAAGTACATTGAAGAAGCTAATTTCTCTTAATAAATGCAAATACTACATATGAAAATTTATGGAGTGCAGTTGTATTCATGCTTAGCTGAAATTATATGGCTTAAAATGTAGTTTTTCAAAAACAGAGAATAGAAAACTAGTGAACCAATAAAGCATGGTGACATGTGCCTATATTCTTACCACTTTTGGAGGCTCAGGCAGGAGGATTGTAAGTTTGAGCATAGCTTGGACCATTTAGCAACTTTACCAGACCCTATCTCAAGATAAAATCAGGGTTGGGGTTGTAACTCAGTGAAACAAGACCATGGGTATGTGTACTTACAGGGGAGATTCATCTTAAGAAATGAGAAGAAAAAAAAAAAAAATTGAACTCAGAACGATAGAAAGAAAAGTAGAAACTTGAAGGCTGAAATCCAGGTAGGGTGGCACATGCCTGCAATCTCTACACTCAGGAAGCTGCCAGTTCCATTCCAGTTTACCAGTTCCTGCCAGCTTGGGATACATAACAAGTTCAAGACTGACCTAGACTAGCCTCAGTAATTAAATAAATACATGCCAGCAGTAACAACCAAAAAACATTTTTGAAAACTTCATAAGTAGTAAATAAATATATAATAGAGAAACAAGATCAAAAGTTGATTCACTGAAAAACTGATAAAATTGATCATAAAAATCAGATTAGTTGTCTACATAAAGAATGGAAAAGATAGCCATTACATGCCCAGGTCTTAAAGATAACATTATAAAGAGAAGTAATAATAATAATGATAATATAATAGAGCACACATTCCCCCCCTTGGGTTTTTTGTTTGTTTGCTTTGTTTTGAGGAAAGGTCTCGATATGTACCACAGGGTGACCTTGCACTTGTGTAGCCCAGCCTGACCTCCAGTATGTGGTAATTTACGACTTGTGCTGACATTGCAGGCATGCACCACCACGCCTGGCTATAGAACACAAGTAGTACAAAGTATAAAATAATAGGATAAAATACAAATGTAAAGGATGAAGATTCACAAAGCTGAAAGTTCTGTGAATGAAAAGCTAAGATAATTGAAAATGTTTACCTGAAGAGCAAATATCAGCTAGGCACATTCCTGTCATGCCAGCTCTTGGGAGGTTTAGGCAGGAGCATTGCGAGGTCAGGCTGGACCACGTCGTGAGCTCAAGACCAGCCGAAGCTACACAGTGAGACCCTGCCTCAGAAAAAAATAAAAATTAAAAAATTAGGACTGAAGAGACCACTACATATCCTGCAGACATTTAAAAGATTATAAATGGATTATGTGAGGTACCTAAATAGTTGATTTCATAGAGGCAAAGCAAAAAGAGTTGCTTGTCAGGGGCTATGGGCTGGGAAAATGCCAAGTTGCTTATCAGTAGGCATGTAAATTCAGTTGTACAAGATAGTAAGTTCTAGAGATCTGCTTTACAATATTGTGTTGTTCATAATGGTGTACTTAAAAATCTGTTGGAAAGGTAGAGCTCATTTTTTTTTTAACCACAATCAAATAAAAGTAAGATTATAAGTGCTGTTAAAAACATAATTGTCAGGGCTGACCAAACAGCTCAGTGGATTAAAGTGCCTGCAAGCAGGCACAGGGGCAAGGGGCTTGATCGCCTGGCCTGCTCTGCCTGCCCTGCCCCCGGGGCTTGCTGAGAGGGCAATTGAGAC